TTATATTATTTATTTATTTATTTATTTTATTACTTTATTTTTTTTTTAATGACCAACAATGAGGCATTAATGGGCTTTTAAGAATGAACTTTTATCAAGCCCATTTAATGGGTCCTTTATTGGGCTAAAGCAATAGATCTCCTTATGGAGCCCACATTAGGCCTCGTATTAAACCATATAAAAATGGGTTGTATAATGAGCCCGAGAAATAATGATCGAGCCCAAATTATAAAAATAAACTCATATTAAAATAATAAAATATTTTGGATAAAATTAAGTGTTTATAATATAATATCATTTTAAATAAATACATACTTTTTTACATTTTATTCATAATAAAATTTATTTTTATGATTTTATTACTTATGCCACATAAAACTTTTTTTTTTTTTATTTTCCTATCATGCCAAACAAAATGTTAGATAATAATGCAAAAAGATAAATGATATAATATTTTATTATTTGAGATTAAATTTGTACTATCAAATAACTAACTACTTATGAAATAATTATTAAGTCAAGTATATGAAACCAATCATTTATAAATTGGATCAAGCTCATAAGAAAAAAAATTATAACAGATAAGTATGATGACAACAAAGTGAAAAAAAATTTTCAATAAGATATAAGTAAAAAATCAAAATTATGATTAATAAAAAAAATTAATAAAAATACATACTAACAAATTTTTCGGACTTATACTTATAGTGAAAGAAAATTATTAAATTTTTTAAATTAAAATGAAAATAAAATTTATTTTTGACCTTTTTTAAGTAAAATTTATTGATGTCAATATAGAGAAAATACTAATTTTTTATACTAATCATATATATTATATATTATTAATTTTTAAAAGTTGAGTGGGATCAATTGATCTTACTATTATAAGGTGTCTACGTCACCTAAACACACACTAATGACAAAGTCAATAAACAATTATACGAAAAAGAGGCAAAATAGTTTTTTTGACAGTAGGTTTAATAGGAGTACAGAAGAAAAAAGAGAAATTTTTAAATTTAAAAATCAATTCAGTTCGATTAAATTATCAAAATTTTTATCGTTCAAACTATAATTAGTGAAATAGGTTTGTTAATCTAACATTAATTTATTTGATTCTACATATGTCAATAGGCATTCCACATGTCAGCTTCTAAGACTAAAATTTCCAATTCTATTTGTTTAGTACTAGGGGAATGATTCAATCTTTAATCACGGTATTTCAATGCCTTTCGTCTTTCATATTGTTGAATTCAATTCATTTTTTTTGGGAAATTCATCCCCAGCCTTCATCCTGATGAACCATCTATTTTCCTCTTCCATTTTTTTGTTATGCTTTATTGTTAAAGATTTTTTTCTTTTAAAATTCATACAAATTCTTTGAATCTTTTCATGATTATTAGGGGAAAGATCTATTGAACAAAAAAACGATTTTCTTCGTCTTACTTATTCCTTATTTTTCTATTTTCATTAATTTTTTTTAAAAAACTTTATCAGTTATACTTTGAATCTCTGATCCTGAAGATCAATGAAAAAGCTATCGTCATTAAACGAAAAATGTCCAAATCTCTTGCTGTTCCTAATCCCCAAATTTTAGTTTACCTGTCGCTGAAATCTTTAAAACTATTGTTGTTTCATCTTCCACTTTTCCTTTACATAAGCCCAAAACAAATATATAAAAAAAAAAAAAAAAACCCATAGATGTTGCTTAGGAGATGTTGTGTTTAAGATTTTATTTAAAATTTATTTTGATTCTTCTTGTTGGGTTGGTTTAAATAAGCTTATTTATGTCTAATCTAATAAATTAATAAAAAATTATCTCATCACATAATTTTTCAACATATTCGAACTTAATAAAAAAAAAAAACTCTTTGTCAATTAAGTACAATGTGAGATTCAAAATTTTTTTCGAAAATATCTTTTAACAATATATATATATATAATGCTGATAAATTTATTAATTTTATTTACGAAAGAATGTCAAATTTTTTTTTTTTAAAGTGTTTAGATGAAATTTTTTATTCAAATTTTTAAGTATTCTTACTCTACAGTCCACAAATGCTTAAATTAACCATCCTGAGTAAATTTGTTGCCTCAGTTACTTAACGTGTGAATGGGTAGTTATAAACTACCCGAAAACTCTTATCAAAATAAAATTAAACCAGAACAATGGCATTCAACTTAAAAGCAAAATTACTTGAAAGATAACGGCAGAAAGAAAGAGTGGGGTGGGGAAAGAGTCAGACAGAAGAAGCTTCTGGACTGGGTAGTGTACTTTTTGTACAGGAAAATCGTGAAATGCACAATTATCCTAAAGCTGTCAAATGAGTAAGCAAACAGAATCCAAAGCGCTTTCTGTGGACAGAGATGCAAGTGATTTACAATTACTTGGAAGAACGTGCCTAGCTCGAACTACACCATCTTTTATTTTGATTTTGATAATTGCATGGGACATATTTGCAATTATCAGTTCCAATTCCTACCATCTTTTTACTTTATTGTATGAACATAAAGATAGAAGCTTCCTCGATATGTGCACTCGCTGGAGTGCGTTGTTTTCTTCCTCCCTTCTTTAGGCTTTATTGGCTTTCGCCTTTATCTCCCTGATTGTGTGTTTTAGTTATGGGTATGTATAGGAGACAATGAGCTTTTTCGACAACTAGCTGTCCCCAAAATTTTCACTGCAACCAATAAAGGGAGGTGGCAACAACATCTTTTTCTATATCCTCGGCAAAAGAAGGCCTCTACTCTATGCAACATGGATCTGATAGCTTAGATTACCATTCAACATAAATAGATAGATATTATATACAAAAATATCTTGTCTTTACGAAAATCATATGATCGGAACAGAAGGATCTCTACTGCAATCGTACTCTATCATTTTTTTTATTTGGTAATAGAATCAACATGTTTTCCATTTTTGTTTGAATTTAATTTTTTTTCAATATTTTTAAAAATATACTCTTTTATATTAATTTAGTGCATTTAAGATTTTATTAAAAATATTCTATAATAAAATCAAATCTTCATTAATAAAAGATAAACTCCACGCCTTATTAACTAAACTAATTTTTATAGGTATCTTGCTCTATTTTTGTCACTTGAGCTTATGTAAAAATTGAAAAATAATAAAATTTGACAATTTCTATTTTGGATATCTCCATAATTTTTTCTTAAACTCCTTTTTTTATCAATAAAATTTGTAAATCCATTAGAAATAAAATTTATTTTATAATATTAGCAATGTTCTTAGTTGAAAGATCATTTGGTTATATATATATTTTAAGAATAATGCATTTGATAATATTAATAATATCGCAATTATAATGTTTTCAATATACGAGAATTTTTCGTGAACGATAATAATAATATAGCAATATATCATTTTAAATTTTTATTTAACTTTTTTATATATATTAAAAATGAAAAATTTTTGGAAAAACTTGAATTTATCACTGTCCAAGTCCTCAAGTAAAGATATATATAAATAGAGGGAGAGAATATATTGTAATAAATTACATTTTATCGTTTCCTAAAATGTTTTCATTTTTTAATAATATAGTTAATTAATTAGAGTTCATATAATTAATTCTATATCAATAATGCATTAATAATATAGTTAATTCTGCTTTTGCTGCTGCGGCATGTCCTACCAAGCCCTTGATCTTTTGCTTTAATGGGATCAAGGCTTCCTTTTTATTTAATTAGCGTAGCTTCGTTCTTCCCGATGATTTTGTCGGCAATGATCGGAAATAACTAACCTAAAAGCAACGGTTTTAAAAGTTCACTTCATTGTAACAAGAGTAACCTGGAACCCAGAAGACAGTCAATGACCAAAGATGATCATTAATTTATCCATGTATAATGGTGGGGTCTCTGGCTTAGATCCCATACTGTGTATTGAAAGATAATGTCACCCAATATTAAGCTATACAGTTTTTATCCAAGGAAAGAGATTTGAATCATAATAATCCAATTATTACAGAATCTTACATACTAATTCCTAACTAGTTAACTTAAGCTGAAAATTTCCTTTCACATCATGATTTTCAGAAACATAAATATGTGATAGTTGCTCTTAAGCAATAGGAAGAACTTGAACCCATCTGTTATTGTGATAGCCAAAAAGCTATACACCGAAAGGGCATATTAAACAATATTGAGAACAAAGAGGGTAATACAAACGCCTTAATCAAGTAGTTTGGTTGTATCCTCTATTCTTATTTGAGATCATGCACATGAAAATTTGATTCAATTGTGAGTACATTTATCTCCTTTCTTAAAGAGTTGAGTTAAAATCCCTAGCTCTTATCCCTAATCATCCAAATAATTAATAAATAAAATAAAAGATTTGAAATTCAAATTTTGACCTGCAAAGATTGTAGATACTGAATTGATGAAAACATAAAATCTTCTCCTCTAGTGCCAATGGCGTTGAAGATAAAAATTTTAATTAATGAGTAAATTTGAGTTAAAATTGGTGGACGAGGGCATAATTTTAGAATGTCATGTTTACTTATAATATATAAAAAATTAAAATAAATTTTCTTATAATATTACATTAATTGTCCACGACGAATTCTTTTATTTTGAAAAAAGACATGATTATATCATTACTAACATTATCAATTATATCTTTCTTAATATATTTAAATAATCAATTATTCAACAAAAAATGAAAAATTTTAAGGGTCTCCACAGAAAAATTTTAGAGGTGTCTATGAAAAAATAAACATAATTTTAGAGGTGTCTATGAAGAAATAAACATTCAAATTTTATTATTTTCCAATTCTAAAACTTGTCCATGAACACCCTAGTTTATAACTTGCCTCCGCCCTGTAACCCCACACACACACACACACATATATATATATATATATATATATATATATATATATAAAATGCTTCCAGCTTCTTTAAGTGAAAATAGCCATGGCACTAAAAAAACTGCTATAAGATAGAGAAGCTATGAAAGTGCAGAATATATACAGTAGAAATTATCGATGTCATATAATTAAGGATCAAGTGAAGTACAAATTGATGTATTAAATTCATAAAAATTTTAACTAATAAAGATTGCCATGCATGCATGCATGGCTTGCATTATCCTATACCTGAGACAGAACCCCATTGTAATTATAATTTTCTAAAACCTAATGAAATATCAGATTCACAGGAGCATAATTAATCTTAAGTCACTTGCGGTCTAATAAGTCAAATGTTAGCAATTGATAATCCAAATGGTGAATTTCTCCCTTGTGTCACACTACCAGTATTTATCACAGGGTTCATCCTCTCTGTCTGAAGTGGTGCTCCTCTTGGCGATGGCCTTTCCAGCTTAGGCGATGCTTCAAACTTCTTTTCACCTATTCCATCACCGGAAAGCAACGGCTTTGCTTCGTAAATCTCTGATATAGATTCTATCTTAGTGCTTCTATCAATAGGAGGTGGTGCAATTTGAATCTGCTCAGTTTTGAAAGGATCGTCTTGAGGTCCTAGACATGGTGGAGCTGTTCCCAAGTCCTGCAATCGGAGCTCATCAGACCAAATCAAAGGACTCTTCCCGCTACTACTATAAGGGCTAGGCCTCCTCTTTCCGTAGCAAATGTTATCGCTATTTGGCATGAAACCATCAACTGATGGTCTGTCCATGTGTTGAAGATCAAGTTGGTCACCTCCACAAATATTGAGGTCTTGAAATGGTGGAAAGTTGAGAGGACCGAAATCTTTCATTGCTCCCATGTCAGGAACTCCTTGATTTCCCATACCCTTATAGCCTCCAGTAGCCATATTTTCGCTCGCCAGGGTTTGACAAGCCTTTTCCAATATGGACTTCATATACTTCCCTTGAGCCTCAATCCGCAATTGAAGGTGTCTTTGTACCTGCCAGGCACGATAAGTCCATTAAGGATTTATACACAGAAAGCCCCAAGAAGATTCCTATATACTGATCTGGTGAACAAACTAGTAATTGAAGATGATCTGTTGAGATAAGTGTCTGTGCATACCTCCAATTGCTCATGAAGTCTTCTCTGCACTTCCAGTTGCATCCTAATCGCATCAACCATGTGCGAGTTACAGCTTTTTATATGTATACAGTTTCACACATACATTCCACAAGAAAATCCAAACCCCACACCCCCAAACAAGAATGAAAAATAAAAGGAAAACTTAAGTGATTTCTTTCTCTTATATATTATACCTTTTAAAATACCTCTAAATATATGTTTGTCTAGTAAAGTTATCAAGTTGTGAATCTTGAAACTAAAACAACATTAGTATTAGAGTATTAGTTCTAGACTTTTAATTCCTGTTAACAAAGTTCAATCGACAATTTCAAATTAAAAAAAAAAAAAGAAAAACTAAAATCAAAAGAATCAATACGTACTCGTTCATGCTACGAGCCATCATACCAGATGAAGATGCAGCATTTCTTTGAAGATCTAGCGCCGAAGCTCCCAAGAAAACAGGAAAAAAAAAGCATTTAGCTACATAAATTCTTGCATATATACTTGTATAGTATAATAAATTGATGACAAAAGAACGTAAAACAGTACTGTAAGTGTAGATAAAGAAAATCCTATAGATCTCTTACCATCTTTTATAGAGTGATCATTGAATTCCTTGTGAGGTTGCTTTCCAAGCCTGAATTTCTAATCCAGTAAGAAGAATTATAATTATTGTAATCAAAAGAAGCAAAAAGGAAGAGAAATTAAATAACAAAAAGGAAAAGAAATAATAGCCTCTACTATCAAGGAGAGGCTCGTTGTATGGGCTTTAATTATGAATAAAATAACAATCTTTTGGCTGAGAAAAAAGAAAAGAAAAGAAAAGAAAAGGGAAATCGAGCCAACCCTACATCGAGAAGATCGTAAAAGGGATGGAAGAAAAGCTAAAGCAAGCATGAAATATGGTTGTTGTATTCAAACCTGGAGATGGCTCTTGAGGTGGTAAAGTGTAAGACCTTTCACACCCATAACTCTCATGATTGTTTTTGGTGTGGCCTCTGTCAAAGTCAATTAATTGATCATAAGAATGATATGTGAAGATATGAATAGAACTGACTTGAAGGAAAAGGGTTAGTTAATAGAGAAAGTTATCGTACTGTCAGGTCCTCCAAGCTGAGTAACAGCATCGACAAAGCGTTCATGAAGCTCGACCGTCCAACGCAGGCGAGGCTTGGGGTCTGTGGTGAGCACAAGACCAGAGTCGCCTTGAACACACATGGGTCTATCATGGGAATTCATAGTTGACGGTTTCTTGGGTTGGAACATTCTCTCACAACTCTCTCTCTCTAAGCGGCAGCGAGACTACTCAAATAGATTCAAGAACAAATGCGATGCAAATAGGGAGGAATGGGGTGCGTTTTTTAAGAAGAGAAGAGAGGGTTTGGGTTGTTTTTCTACTACAGCAGAAAATATAAGCCCAAGTTCGCTCTTCATAAAAAAGAAACGCAAAATTTATAATACTAAACTATGTGGTACAAAAACAAAGAAAACATTAAAGTGCAGCTATTCTAACATGCAGCGGCCCATTCCTTTAAAGTTTAAAACCCCTCAAAAGAAGCTTTAAATATTGTATCATCGCCGTACGTACAATAAAATATTACATTACATTACAATTTACACTCACCGACCGACAGACATACAGAGCGGTATTACGTACAGCTGCCGAATTGCAAGAAAAGATGAGTGGGAAAGTTTTACAGAAATATTGATGGAATGCACAAATCTGTAATGTCCGAGACTGAGTGATCTATCTTTTGTCATCAACAAAGGAAGTGTATAACTTTGTGGAGTTGTTCTTCGACACCATGTGAAAGCTTTTTGAGTATTACAATATGACAGAGACCCCTCATGCAATCATCATGACGACCAATATGTACATGGACATACTCTTTTACCCTTCTTACATCAGCCCATCTCACTCTCATAAATTACTATTTATATATATTTAATTCTTCTTATATGCTATATATCCATATATTATATGCATGCATGACTCATTTTGTTGGTTATGGTACAATTCCCTTTTTAGATTATAATGAAGTTTAAAATCTGTATGGGCTTTGAACGATGGTTTGGAAGATAAAGACATATATATCCTTTAAGTCGTTACCATGAAAAAGTTGTCATCATTCTTGACAGCAAAATTTTGTGATTAACATATATATTCTTACCCAAAGTTTTGTCATGCACGATAATCAATTAGTAGGTAACTGAAGATATTTTATGTTTGGATTTAGATAGGTATTCTCGTTTTGAAAGTATATATTTTAAACAATTTGTCTTTTTGGAGCTATGTTTGTCGCACTTTGCAGCTCGAGTTGCTGCTTTGTTATTATTCTTCCTTTATGAATAAAATCAAATCTTGGTTGAGAAAAAAAAAAAAACAGTCAGTAATTAAGCCCAAAAATCAAATCCCATAAATTGAAAGTTCTTATTAAATAAACCAAGAATGCAAATTTTGAAAAAATTTTAATATTTTTTTTAGATAAGCATTTTTAATAAAATTTTTGGTAAAATTTTTACTGTTATTAAATAAATATTAATCAATTTTAATTATAAACTGCATTTTTAATAATTTTTTTATATATTATTGATTTTTTCATTTAACTTTATAAATCGATGATTTGAATTTTTTTATTAAATCATTTTTAATAAAAAAAAACTTTACAAACTTCATATAAAAAATTTTATATAAATTATTCCCCTTTTATATCCCACTCTTTATGTCTTATTTCTTTAGCTTTGGCCTTTTGCTTAAATATCCGAAGAAACTGACAAAGCAGTTGTAATTCCTATTATAATTTAATGACATCATGCAACAATTTACTTCTTAGATTCTTGAACTTTTGTTACCAATTATATCATTTGCCTGGAAAAAAAAAAAAAGAAAGGGGTAAGAAAAGAAAAAATTTTAATTTAGTGATTGAACTATATGTATAATAACAGATGTTATGTAACTCAAGCATTAGATTAAATTCTTTTTCTTTGTCCTTTTCTTTATTTTCTACCAAACAGATTAGGCCGGTGATGATCAATTTCAAGTGATTCAAATATGTGTTAATCCACTTGGCCTTTCTAGTAGTGCTCTGCAGATATAGTTTTGGTGGGTGGAAGTGGAACATCATTTGGATGTATTGCAATTCATGTGACTTATTCGATTTGAATTTGGAAGAGTCATCTATTGCAGCCATTTGGAGTCTTGGACTACTTTCCTTTGTTCGTAGTACCCAAAAAAAAAAAACCTTTCCCCATGTGCAAGAAAAAGATATACTATCCCGATTGCAACCATTTAACTGAGGTATGCTTGGATTTTTTTTTTTTTTGGTTACTTATTACATATTTAGTTAGAAATCAAGACCGTTAAAATTTCATCTTTCCATAAATTGTGAAGTTTTTTCCTTATATTTCACAAAAAATAATTTTCAAAAAAACAAATTTTGTATTTTTTTTTTTTTTTATGTTTGTTTGTTAGAAAATTGATTGATCAACAAAAATTACTTTCTAGTAGTTAAAGGAAAATGAGGTCATGTTTTAGAAATTGTCCACTTTTTTTTTTTTTTTTGAAAAGGGCAAAACAATTTTTTTTATTAAAAAACTGTCTATATGTAGGATTATTTATAAAGTTTATGGACATAATTTTACTCAAATCAGACATTGAACATAAGTTTTTAAGCTTAGGTTTAATTTGATCTTATCCAAATATTTTTCTAATAATTTTTTTAATTGTAATGAAAATTTTTAAAATCTCAATATTAAAAGTCTTCGAATATTTAATTTTAAATATTTTTATAGTTATATTCAAGACGAGTTATGGGCATGATTGGCTAAGCTCAAACTTAATTTATATCACCCGAAATATTATTATATTAATAAAAATATTTTCATTTAATTTCAATTAAAAAAATAAAACATTAAAATTAAATTTTTTTAATATTTTTAATATTAATTATTTTAAATATTGAATAATAAATAGTTTTATATTACAATTTTAATAATAAATAATAAATATTAATAAAGTAAAAAACATTTTGTTATTTTACTAATTAATATTATTTTAATAATATGAATACTTTTAATCATTTCTTAATATTTTAAATTTAAAATATATTATTTTATATTTTATTTACAAATATATTATATTACTATTTTAATAGTATAAATATTTTTAATATTTTAATAATACATATTACTATTTTAATATTAATATATTAATAGAAATAATATTTTAAGAACAACAATAGTATTTAAATATTTTAAAGTATAAAAATAATCAGTTTTGTTTTAAGTGTTTATTGCTAATATTATATTTTAACATTAAATATTAGTTGTAAATTATAACTATTTTTGAATATTAATAATTTTGATAATAAATAATTTTTAATATTTTAATAAATATGTCAATAATGTTTAAATGAAAACTGAATTTAAAAAAAAGCAAATAATAAAAAATATTTTTTATTAATTCATTGAAACAATAAAAATTTTTTAATTTTTAAAAAATATTTTAGAATTAAATTTTTACAAAATAAACGGAATCTAATTGTTTGTAAGGAAGATTCTAGTTGGTGAACTTAGATTCAGTCATAATATTAATGTAAATAATAGAGTAAAACAATTTCCGTCATTTTATGCAAATTATACACTTTTTTTTTTCTTGAAGTTGCATTTATTCAAATCTATTTTGTACTTTCCATAATCAATAAGATTCAAATTTGAAATCAAGGGTATATCACTGACATTGATATGTGATTCCCAATTGCATTATCTCTAATATATAAAAACAATTTTAAAGATTTTTTTATTCGAAGAAGAGAGGGAATAGAACTCTATTATTTAGACAGTGAATCATGTATCAACAACTAAATCAAATGCTTGAATATCAATGTTGAAGAAATTAGGAAGTGAAATAGAGCACGTAAATGTAACTAATAAGAGTATTAATGAGAAACTAGCAAATTAAGGAGAAGAAAATAAGGAACCAATAACTTTATGGTGTATCGTTGGTATAATGTGAGGACATGAACATCGATCCATAAAGAATGGAGTAGGGGACCTCTCCTCTCACTCGATCCCTTTATCACTTTTGTAGAACTGAAGATTGTTCTCCCATGCATTTTAGCTCCCATACAAACCAAATAAAAGAAAATACACTGGAATGCCAATGGGTCAAACCCAACAAATTGGCACAGGGCCCCACCTATAGCAAAAGAACTACTAGTAAATCAAGATTATTAAGAATAATATATATATATATATATGTATGTATGTATGTAAAAGCTCTCTCTCTCTCTGTTTCTCCTTCCAAATGTAAAGCCCATGCAAAGAGGTCAAATGTGATTGGAGGTGATAAAAATCTAAAGGAAAAAAATGCATGATGTTTACCCAATCCTAGTGGGAATATATGCTTTCTTCTTTGACAATCAAAGCAAGATTCTTAAGTCAAAATAAATTATAGATCTTCAATGAAGTTATGCCAATCTTACATCTGTTAGAGCTACTATATTGTTTCAAGTTTGGGTTTTCAAATTTGGACTCCATTTATATCATTTTAGACTATGGACACCCTCAAAATCAATTTGGTCATACATTTATAAAATTCTCAAAGAATATGAAATTCAAAATAAATTCTTCAAGAGAAAATCAATAAATACATCTATCATTGTTAACAAGATACAGTCAAGCTGGTTTGAGACAATATTATAATAATATCAAAATGATGTGGATCTAGTATCGCAAACCCGCCTTCAAGCCTTCCCTCCACCATCCTATTGCTTATGTATAATTGCTTTATATTTTGGAAACCCTCTATCCATATGCACGAAAAGGAGGAATTTCAATTAGATTTGGAGGTTCTTTAGACTGGTATGGTATAATATCTGTCCGTTTTTAATATAATCAAGCAAAGTTTGATTTTAACTTTTCGTTCATTTTGTTTCAAAACCATAGCCTAACGGAAAAGTTGGGTGGCTTAGTATTAAGGCCATGTTTGCTTGAATTTCAAGCATCTTTATGTACTTAGAGAATTTATTCTTTGAAAATGAATATATTCGTTTGGCAAAGGCCACGTTACGGGGCCCATCTTTATTACATCCAGGGTACTTTAGATAACCTGTTTCTTTTCTCATATGCTCCCTCGGCGGGTTTTAATCGGATGGTGCAATCTCCATCCTAATCACTAAAACACTTCATGATTTTTATTTCTCTTTCTTTGGGAGAGGCTGCCGTTTTGCATGACTAGCGTATAGCTTTTGGATGCAAAATTCTAAATTCAGCCATACTTTTACTTTTCACACCCGTATATTAAATATATCCAAAATTTAAATGCAAAATAAAAAGATTTACACTTTACAGCCAAAATCTCATCATATCCATTTATCTTCACACTCTTATCACCTTTTAACCTTAGATCTCCAAAAATTTTAATCTTCATGGACTTTTATCAATCTCAGAAACTCACTCTCAATCATAAAACTTTAA